GAAATATATTTCCTCTTCTCCCCCTCCTTCACCTCCCTCTCCTCATCCTCCTTCAGAACCTCGTGGAGGAATACAAGGAGAGGAAAATGGGGTCTTTCTTATGGTCATAGACGTTGTCATCTCAGCAGGATATTTTAGTATGCTTCAGAAGATGTTTTGAGGCTCGAATTCAAATCGAAACATACTAGGTTGTAGTGGTTTTGAGTACTTGTAGTAGTAGTAGTAGTAGTAGTAGGATTAGTAGTAAATGTAGTAGTAGTAGTAAGTAAATGAATAAGCATAGAACTCATTTCTTACCTCGCATGGATATCCAGATTTTCATATTTGCCTCATCGTTATTTAACTATATTAAAGCGTGTACTCATGCATTATGGTGAGTTGACAGGGGCATTTAAGCTTTGCAGAACCCCACCATCCATTCCTACCTCTCCATTCCTTGGCAGAGAACCGGAGGTGCTTTTCCTCGTCAAACAGGCAGTTTGTGGAGGTTTGTAGCTCGCAGATTGGTCGATGCAGTGACTGTTTCTTTCCTTCTACCTCCAGACTCTGGATCTCAATTCCTCCTTCTGTCTTCCCTAAGTTTTATGACCGTTCTGCCTTCTAATGTCTGATCTATCGTCATTTCAGAGCCTAATCCTGCCATAGTTCTAGGTCTTCATTGCTTTTGACTAGACTTTCAGCCTGTCCTTCACTTATTGTTTATCATTCTCTTATTTTTGCCTTATCCTTAAGCTGCTACTTTTTCTTCATCTCAATGTTTTCTTGGTGCTCGGTCCGATGAGGGAAAGTTTCTTACCCCGTCGTCCTTAAGTGAGATTGACAAGGAATTAAAGGTATAAAACTAGCCACTTTGGGGGATATGTTTGGGACTCGAACTCATGATCTTTTTGATGGAAGACTAGTCCCGTATCCAACGAATCGCTCACCATATGTACAGGATTAGAAAGTGGTAGATATACTAACTATTGCGGTGTGCATTTGCACATAGCTGGGGGCCAAACTCTTTCTTTTGGTTTTCAGGGAAGTTGACTGTGTGAAACAATGTGTCTAAGTAGCTGTTCTGACTCTCTCTCTCTCTCTCTCTCTCTCTCTCTCTCTCTCTCTCTCTCTCTCTCTCTCTCTCTCTCTCTCTCTCTCTCTTCGTATTTTACACTTGTCATCGTAAACATATAAACAGTCCAAGTTTTAGCTTTCCAGGGAAACTTTCAAATGCTGTGTCATTTATGTATTCATTTATTTATTTAGATACTTATTTAGATATTCATTATTATTATTATTATTATTATTATTATTATTATTATTATTATTATTATTATTATTATTATTATTATTGTTGTTGTTGTTGTTGTTATCATTATTGTTGCTGTTATTGTGATGATAAAATAATAATAATAATAATGATATTATTATTATTATTAACATTATTAATAATGATATCCAACTTCCTTGTCGGGCATCGAACCTGGTAACTCTAAACTACAATTCCACATCTTGTCCACTGCACCACAGAGGTTGTAAAAGAGAGGGAACTGGAGCATCTTCTGATGCGACAGAGGGAGGGATGCCATTGCAACCATTAATATCCGTTTTACTCCCCTCCCCAAACCACCATTGGTCAGCACACACATTTAAGTCTCCTCCTCAACACACAATACTTAGAAGATAGAACAAATGCATTGCAGTGACATTTTTCTAAATGTTTTCAAATAATCTACCTTTCTTGTCAGGAGTCGAACCTGGGAACTTTAGACTAGAACTTGACTGTACCACAGAGGCTGTTCTATCATCTAAACCTTGGGTGTTGAGGTTGTGATCTGAGTGTGTACGCTGACCATTGGTGGGTTGTGGAGGGGAGTAATGCAGGTAATAATGGTCGCAGTGATGCCTCTCCATCTGTGCAACATCAGTAGATGTTCCAGTTCCCTCTCTTTTACAGCTTCTGTGGCACAGTGGACTAAGATGTGGAGTTCTAGTCTAGAGTTCCCGGTTCAATTCCCGATAAGGAAGGTAGATTATTTGAATACATTTAACCCTTTTGCTGTGAACTGCCATAAATGTCCGTGTGAAGGGGGCCTACAGTGCCTTCGAGAAAATATTTTTTACTTCCTCCATCAATAACTAACTGGCTACTATTTCCTTCAAGTGCCTCTGGGCTGGTTAAAGCATTGACTCTATGTATGGCATCATGACTTCAAGTGCCATATAGCAATTTCCTCCTTCACTTCTTGAGGAAATGGCACGCATTTTGAAACTATTAGATTAACAAATATGTCATACAGGTGCCCAACTCGTAGATAAAGGGTTAAAAATGCGTTATGGCACTGCATATGTTCCATCATATAAGCGTTGTGTGCGGAGGATAATTAAATGTGTGCCCTGACCACTGATGGTTGGGGAGGGGGTAAAACAGAGATTAATGGTCTCAATGGTGTCCCTCCATCTGTGTGACATCAGCATATATTCTAGTCTCCTCTCTTACAGGCATTGTGGTTACAGTGGA